ACACACACACACACACACACACACACACACACTTACTTTAATGTTCTCAGCAATGATATCTGGGTCGTCACATATTGACTCTACAAAGAAAACCTGAAGAGGAGGGAAAAGAGAGAATTGGATGCATTTCAGATCATAATCCTTCATTAGTCCCACTACTGGGACATTTGTTGTGTTACACAAAATATTTAAAAAATATCTACATACAATGCAAATATAAATAGAAAATGTGTGAAAGATTCAGACAGAGTTTAATAAAGTTTCCCCCTGCAGCCGTGGAAACTTGAACTCAAGGTTTTCTCTCGTCATCGTCAGAAAAGAACAAACCTTGTAACCGTTTTCTTTGGCGAAGCTGAGGATGACCTCCCTGCGCTCTTGCGTGGTGTTTGTGGCATCAAAAACCTTCCAGGGAAAACTCAGGATTAGTGACCGGCTCTCTTTATGTAGACTCATAAATAAAAGTACAAATGAACTTTAAAGCTTTAAAGTTACACTCACCACCACCTGACCCTGCTCTCTGGTGAAATAATCGCACACATCCTTCAGGGCAGCGGTGGCACAGGCTCTGTGCACAGACACAAGATTAATTACAGCTACACTTCGTTTGTGTTGGTATTTAGCGTCGGGGTTGGGTGATAGGATTCTCAATGTGTTTAAGTACGTGTCTCAAACAATATAGTGTTTTTTGAAAGGTGTGTTAAGTCACACGCTGTTTGCGGTGACGCTGTGAGAAGCTGAAGGTTCATACTTGCGTATCTTCATGGCCTCTGCGTTGTCTGGTCTGAAGAACTCGTAGCTGTTGTAGGGACGTGTAGCATCTCTGCGATACTGGCCGACGTTGAACACTGTGACAGAGAGAAACGATGCGACTTAGAACATGTGAAGCTTTAATCTTATACAAAACAATCTTATGTTCTCTGAATTCAAACTGTTGTTGCTGCTAGGCAACATGGACGTCGACATTAATATCGGTGTATATCGGCCAAACAGGGAGGAAACGTAAAGCAGGAAATACAACAAGCTGTGAGATGGATCAATACGACTACAAATCTCTGTTTCCTTTGTTACGAAGATTCATCTCTGTTGAAGCTGTTTGGTAAAAATGTTCTTTTACTGCTCAGACTAGAACCTACGGCTTCTGTGATCAGAGAGGCTAAGTGAAGCTGCAGACACGGCTCCCTGTCTGGAGCCGTTTGGCCAACGGGTTTTAAAACCCAAGGTCATGGGAGTTGTAGTCTTCTCCTGCTTAGATTCCTTCAGTGTTGATGGTTCAGGTTTTTATCTGAACCCTCCTCAGACGTCTCCTCCTCCAAAACAAACAGAGCAGCTGATTCACTCCAGTAAAAACTGAATAAAGCAGCTTCACAACTTAAAGTAAATGTACTTAAAGGACGATGGAACCGTCTTCAGTCTGAATATCACTGAGCTGAATGAGTCCAAACCCTGTCAGGTGATACCTTTAGTTGTAACTCCGATCCAGTTCAGGTATCTGGTGAGCTTCTTAGAGATGTAGGTCTTCCCTCGTGCCGGGAGTCCCACCATCACTATCATGGTTGGAGAGTTGGTGAACTGGGGCACCGACGCTGAAACACACAGACGCACAGTGTTGAATTCATGGTCTGTGACGAGGAAGCCTGTTGGAAAACCACCAGAATGAGAAAGATCTAATTCTACCGATGAGGTGAATCAGAAGTCTCACGGTGTGACTTTCTGTCAGCGGCACGATTACATACAACGTTAATGCGAAGACGCCAACAGCCGTGAATTCCTGACGGTGAACGCAGAAAGATCTGTGACTGCAAACCAAGATGGAAGATGCTCCTCCCACCGTGTGAGGGCACAGTCACACGTGTGCGAGTGCAGCAGGTTCCCGTAGCGTGTCTTCACATAGAGTCAAACTTCAGTGAACTTTGACCGGTGATATTCGGAGGTTATGAAAGTGTCCCAACACTGAATCTTGCAGTGATGGGTCATTAGGAGTACGGAGGGGAGTCGTGATGTGAGCAGTCTCTATACACCGCTCTATATTATATTAACATGTTTACGTTTGATCCGTGTTCCATCTGCTAACATGTAGGGGGCGGGGTTTATGACCTGTATTAAGAAGCGTTCGGGATCATTTAGCAGATCCTGGATCAGAAGATGTGATGAGATGAAGCTTCTCAGGACCCGAACTTTTCTTTTTTCAAGAAGTGAAGGGAAACAAAATCATCCTCCACTTGATCTTCTACTGCCAATTGTTTTTTAGAAACAATAGAATATTCAAACACATGAGACTTGATGATATGATTATAACAAACCTAAGATACAAACTTTAACTGTAGCTCAGTTAAAAACCAGCGTTTTTTAGCAATATTCATTCAGGAGATGTTTAAATTAAAAGTGTGATTTAATTGTATTAACTAAACAAGTAAGAACCTACGTTTACTTTTACTGTCTTTATCACTGAACCTCAGTGAAAGTCTCTAGAGGAGTGTGGACACGTGGTGTCAGAGGAGCTTTGGGGTGAATAACCCTCCGGTCTCTCTCACACACACACACACACTCACACACACACACACACCCAAAACGGTTTTACACCTACGTTATTGTACAGGTATCAACTTGTCAAACTGAGGTGATGTCAAACAATGTAGTGTCCACGTGTGTGTGTGTGTGTGTGTGTACTCACAGCCTCTGCGTTGGCTCAGTCTGCTTTTCAATGATGGCACCCAAATTTTCTCCAGAGGATTTTGAGTGAGTGTTCTTTGTGTTCCTGACATGACTACAGCAGCCAGGTGTGTGTCTGTGTGTGTGTCTGTGTGTCTGTGTGTGTCTGTGTGTGTCTGTGTGTGTGAGTGGACGTCTGTGCTGCCTGTGTGTGTTTGACAGGATGCAAAGAAGACCTCTGTACAGATTTTGAACTTTCTCAAACCACAGCACGTGTGGGAGGAGACTGAGCAGTCAGCCAGTCAACACACCTGTTGGACAACGTGCAGAGGACGGAGTGATTCTGATTGGCCGGGCAGCCTGTCAGTCCAGAATGACGTCATCCACCAATTTCCAAGTGCAACTGTAAACTGCCCGGTCATACAGGAAGTGAGGTAGCATGACAAGTAAGAATCACACTGAGCAGCTGTATTGTGATTTTGTGAGACGTCTAGCTGCAACATGACACTTCACCACTAGATGTCACTAAATTCTACACGCTGAACCTTTAAATAGTTTTTATTGTGCTTGTTGCCAACAGTGATTTTAACAGTCTGGTTAAATCTTTAGCTTGTTAGCAAACATTGAATCTATCACAGTTTCTGTTCTCCATCATCTCTGCTCTGTTTTGTGTCATCGCTCGTCGTCTCTTGATAAATCAGACACCTCGTGTTGTCTTTGAGCTTCTGTAATATTGAACGTGTTGCTCAGCGTCATCAAACCTGATCCATCACTCAGCACATGTATGTTCCACAGTGACACAAAGAGGAAGTGGAGTTTTTAAAAAGATGATCTGCTTCAGCTCAGACTGAAATTCTAATCAGACCTGTTCTTGTGTGTGTTGCTTCAGTACATGTGCTCAGTTACTCTCAGTGTGACCTGTGACCGTGACACCGCCCCCCCAACACACACACACACACACACACACAGAGTGAGCAGCTTTGTGTGTGTGTGAGAGAAACCTCACCTGTGCTATCACACCGCACGCGCTGCAGCCTCCGCACCGTGTGCACGTTCTTCTTGGACTCCATTAGTTTCTTACACTCACACTCAGGGACCACGTGGGTCACTGCTCGTCACAGGACACCCCCCCCCCCCCCCCACCACAGCTTCCCTGTTCGGGACCATCAGGATCTACTTTCCCCCCCCTCCCCCTCCGCATGACCGATGTGCTCCATGTGCATGTGTTCGTATGTTTGCGCGCTCAAACACGCCACATGGTTACATAACGCTGCAGACTGTGTGTGTGTGTGTGTGCGCGCGCGTGCGTGTGAGACGTTTGGGCTGGGTGCCCACTCATCAATGACAACGATCAGCTGTTGCGTCACGGGTGCACGCACGCGCACTCAGTCTCGCTCAAATGAAAGAAGAGGAGAGTCTGTGTGTGTGTGTGCGTGTGCGTGGTGACGTGCTGGTTTAATGATCGGGATATGACGTCACTCACCGTGTGTCGCTGTCACTCACCGTGTGGCCGCTGGAACCGGAGCGTCCTCCCCGCGCCCCCCCTCAGCTCCGCTCCGTCTTGCATAACCGCCGCTCCGCTCACCCTGCGGTTCTATTCCTGGTGTGTGTGTGTGTGTGTGTGTGTGTGTCTGTGTGTGTGTGTGTGTGTGTGTCTCTCTCTCTGTGTGTGTGTGTGTGTCATGTATGCTCCGGTTGTGTGTCCGTGATCTCTCCGCTGTAACAAACTGTCCTCAATGTTCAGTGTCCTCCTCAGTCTGATGCCTCCGGTTTAGAGCTCCGTCTGCACACACACACACACACACACACTCACTAACTAGCACACACACTAACTAACACACACACTAACTAACACACTCACTAACTAGCACACACACTAACTAACACACACACTAACTAACACTCACACACACACACACACACACACACACTCACATTGTGTGGAACGAGTTGTTCAGGTTCCATTAGCAGCCAGTCTGTGTGCGCTCCTCCTCCTCCTCCTCCCTCCTCCTCCTCCCTCCTCCTCCTCCAGAGGCAGCATCACTGATGCTCAGTGCGCGTTCACGTCATGTAACGTTCACTCATCATGTGCTCACCACATTACAGACTGGGGGGGGGGGGGGCACCTCCATACTGCTCCTATGACGTCATCAAGTGTCCTGACATTCAAACTCAAAACGAGGTCATTTAAAATAAATGTCCTCTGAAGTCCTCCCAGTTACAGCTACAGCTAGCATGTTATCGCTAATCTCATCTCAACAGAACTGGTGTGAACTGCTGTGAACTGGTGTAAACTGGTGTGAACTGGTGTGAACTGGTGTAAACTGCTGTGAACTGGTGT